ACGTCTGGTGGAAATTTTAATGAACTAAAGATTAATTCAACACCTTAACCAATCAACCCTTAAAAGTACAATTTTGAATTAGAAAACTAAGGTGTCGGTTTTGATTCTAATAGAAAGCTAAAATCTCCTTACTCACAATATCACTTAATGGGATAATAGGTTGCTGCTAAAATTTTAAACTAATAAATAAATTTTGCAGATAATCGTATCTCTGTTTCAGCTACCTCTATTTAGACTAAAATAGCAAAATTATGTCACTGCCAATTTAAGAAAGAAATCAACATAGCTGATTGAAGATGTTATAATCTGGATGAAGTTGGGCGGAGGAATTTAAGAATCCAAGTAGAAAAGGAAGTTTTCTATAGATGGAGGAATTTTAACATATAGAGAAAAGAATTCCGCTTACCTTGTAAAAGATGCAGGGATGACTTTGGCCAACAATTGAAGAGTTGGAGAGAAATATTTTTCCAGAGTGACTCACTAAGAACGGTGGACTGCCACTTAAGGGAGAGAGAGCCGATTGAGGGTTTAAGAGTTTACGATCAGGATCTTCTCAGCACATCTCGTTAGGGATTTTTAAGTAAAATATTAATTCGGGCCAAGAAAACTGATTTGGGTTTCTAAGTCTTCTGACAAACACTTGTGACCCAACTGAATTATAATATTTCCCCCCTTTCATTAATATACTAAATAAATATTAAAATAGTATTTATTTCTTCGATTAAAATTATTATGAGCTTACCGGTCAACGTTACCTGCCAAGACAACACATGATCGAACATTAAATCACATTATTCATAGAAGAAACTTATTTAGCAGACTAAAATAATTAATAGTGATTAATATAACTAGCTCATAAAAATCGGGGTGTTACAACTTAAGAGACCAAGGATGAGAGGCAATCTGGAGTAATTTCACTTACATAGTATTTTAGTTACGAGGACGTAACCTCTCTTTAAGTCGGGTAGAATGTAACACTTGGTAATTTTATATTGTTAAAATTGGATTATTAGAGTTGATGCTTCGGGGACGAAGCATTCTTTTAAGGAGGGTAGAATGTGACACCTGGAAAAATTGAAAATAAAATAAATAATTATGTTAGTCAGGTAAATTGAAAAAAAAAAGGTGGCATTTTAATAATTCAGTGAACCAGATGAAGTTTTAAAATTCGTGACATTTTAGTCAAACAAAAATATTGATAATATGAGTACAATAAATAAATAAAATATACAAAAGTTGAGGTATAACTATACGTATTTTAAGTACTTTACAAGATTAGTGATAGTAATATACGATGGCCGCATAATCATGAACGTAGTATCAAGAAGATAAAAACGTACGTATATTTAAACGTGCGAAATTTACTCGATAGAACCTAAACCTAGAACAAGTCTACATACAGAGTACTATAAACGTACGTAACTCTCACACACATGACAAGAATATATCTAGCAAAGGAAAGCTTATAAATGAAAATTTAAAGCCAAAGATTTCATAACATATGAAACTGACGATTGGAACCATCGGCCACTTATATAAATAGTGGTATCGATCAACTCGGCACTAGAGCAAGCAAACAACCTTCGTTTTAGCATCACACGAGGGTGACCTACTGCGAGCAAAATAAGAAAGAAAAGCGTTAGAAAAAGAGAGGAAGACGGAGAGAGGGAGAGCGGGCTTCGCCGGAGAAAGAGAAGGACGGCCGGACTGACCAGATGCTGCATCGACTACTGGCCGGAGTACACATCACCGGGAGAGGGCCGAACTGTTGGGACTGGGTTGCCGTCGACACCAGAGGAGAAAAGACATGCCGGAGTTTCTGTCGAACTAACTTTCACGCCGGAGAACAATGAAGAAGCCGGACTGCGCGCTATCACTGGACCTCCACGCTGCCACCAGAGACGCCGCCGGATGGCTCTCCCGTGGTTCGTGCGATCTCACGACTCGGACGCCGGAGGAGACTCGCATGCAACATCGCCGTCCTCCTTTCCGTAAGACCAACTCTGCTATGCAAAATTCTGTATAAGATTGGGCTGGATAATAATAATAATAATAATAATAATAATAATAATAATAATAATAATAATAATAATAATAATAATAATAATAATAATAATAATAATAATAATAATAATAATAATAATAATAATAATAATAATAATAATAATAATAATGTTGATATGATAATGCAAATAGTAATAATGATAAGAATAATAAAAAAAAAATTGAATTAGTAGAACATTAGATATAATTTGATGTTATTCACTTATAATGAGTTTCTCACTTTTAATTGGGATTATGATTTAAACGGGAATTTTTAGATTGATTATTGAATGAAAAGGCAAGCCTAAATATTTTTTTATGTAGATTACTATTTTCAAATTAACATAAAGTGGACCGATAATATTTAAATATGACTCGATTATCTACTTAAATTTATGGTATTTGATTTAATACAATTATTAGTGATTTTGTAAAATGATTATTATGTTGAAAATGGATGGACCGTCTAAATTATTTGAGAAGAACAATGTATGGCGTGGGATTAATTATAATAATAGTAAGTTAATAAACTTGAGAAATAAGAATTTTGAGATTGACTAACCGAACTGGATAAGGGGAATTGGGTAAGGGATAATTAAGACTAGAGTATTAATTAATCTTAGAATTTTAACAAGGTGATTATCTAGAGACCAAAATAGAAGACGTGAAGTAGAGACTTTGATTTCGAGGTAAGTTTCTCTGCCAATCCAAAATTGTTTCCTCGTATTATATGCTTATTATGCATTATGTGATTAAGTGTGAATTTTGAATTATGTGTATGTGATTTTGAGAAGATATTAGATCTATGGTATTTGAGAAATACAAATGAAATATTTTGGGGTGTTTAATATTTTTAATATCATTGAGACCATTTAGAGAGATTAAGAAATATTTTTGAAGTATACTTAATTCAAGATAAAAGTAAAGATTTTATAAAAGGTGAGCACCGCGGGAGAAATCCGCGGTGTCGGTTTTCCACATCCGGATAAATGTGGAGAGTGATTAGGGTTACTACTACTAAGAAGTAAAGTTTGAGTTTGAAGTAACATTTGGATCTATGATCCCTTTTAAGAAGAAGTTATAGTAGTAGTCCCTATTCATTCAGAGATATCTTATTCAGGGGTAGTTGGTAGACTGAGTCCCGATTACTCGTGACGACTTACTACTCGGAGGGCTTGGAATCCCTTTTAGGGGGTGTGCACACTTAAGGTAGTCGTTTCGTTTCCGCAAGAGCAGTTGTGGTACCGGCACTTGTTCGGGGTGGCCGTCCGTAACCACGGTCCACCGGGCTCAGTCGAAAGGCTGAGCACCGCCCTTCTAAATTACTAGGAAGATAGAGAAGAAGTGAATTTTGAGAAATTCTAAGAGAAGAGTTACTATAGTATTTTCAAAGAAATGTTGAGGACTTTAGTAAAGAAGTGATTTTGAGAAAATATTAAAGAGAAAAGGATTTCGGTGGAGTGAGTTATTTTTATATAATATTATATAAAAATCTATTTTAGTCAAACGTGATTATTTTACGGGGTTGGGTAGTACTTACTTAGCTCTAAAGCTAATTTTTGTTTCCTCTTCCTTGTTTTGTTTCTGCACTTTATTTGTGCAGGTGATGGTGATTATGTTGATTGTTGATTGCACGCGCCTGAGAGCGAGTTAGAAGTTGCCTTAGTTAAATTTAGTCTTGAAACAAACATTTATTTATTTAGTTTTATTGTTTTGTTTTAGTTGCCTGTGCATCCGGTTGAGAGATGACCGGATGTGGCGGTAACACCCATTTCCCTATTTAGACTTCCGCTGTACTCTTTAAATTTTATTATCAATAAATAAAAGTTTTATTTCAATCATATCAATGTTTTTGGGCGGGAAATTTGGGGGTGTTACAAATTGGTATCAGAGCAACCCTGCGACAGTGTGCTGATCCGTTGGATATCGGGCAGACACTTAGCAGGGGAAAAGATTCTGGGATTTGATTGAGATTGGTTTAAGGGCGCAACGAGGACGTTGCGATCCTAAGTGGGGGTGATTGTAACACTTGAGATTTAATATAAACGGATTAATAGTACTACTCATACCAACAGAGGTGCATCTCCTTTTACGGGAGCTCATCCGCTAAGAACTCCAAAGTTAAGCGTGCTTGCACGGGAGTAGTCTTGGGATGGGTGACCCCCTGGGAAGTTTCTCAGGGCGCGCATGAGTGAGGACAAAGTGCGCGGTAAAGGCTCGTGGTGGTTTGTGGGGACAGTACTATTGGTCCGGAGTAACTACCTCGGGTCCGGTGGGGCCGGGGTGTTACAGCCATGGCTACTTTCCAGAGGATGATTGGGATGTTGTTCAAAGACGTACTTGGGAAGACAATGGAAGCTTACGTGGATGACATCCTGATCAAGAGCAAGAGAAAGGAGGACCATATCCAGGACATGGAGAGGGTCTTCGGCATCATGGAGAAGGCCAGCATGAGGCTCAATCCGAAGAAGTGTGCCTTCGCCGTCCGGGGCGGCAAATTCCTCGGCTACATGATGAGCGAGCGGGGGATCGAGCCTAACCCGGAAAAGGTGAAGGCAATTATGGACATGGAGGCCCCGAAGAACCTGAAAGATGTGCAGCGCCTCACCGGGCGTTTAGCGGCCCTGAGCAGATTCTTATCCAAGCTGGCTGATAAGGCGATTCCCTTTTTCCAGATCATGAAAAAAGCCAGTCCCTTTGAATGGACCCCGGGGTGTCAGGCTGCCTTCGAAGACTTCAAAGTGTATCTCTCCTCCCCGCTCGTCCTCACCAAAGCGGATCCCGGGGAGAGATTGTACATGTATCTGGCGGTAGCCGACCTGGCTGTCAGCGCCGTGCTGCTAAAGGAATCTGAAGGCGTCCAGCGGCCAATATACTTTGTGAGTAAGGCGCTGAACGGCCCCGAGACGAGATACACACTGATGGAAAAGACGGTCCTTGCCTTGATTGCATCCATCAAGCGCCTGGCGCCGTATTTTCAGGCACACCCGGTGACCGTCTACACAACACAACCCCTCGCCACCATCCTCAGAAATCCAATGGCGAGCGGAAGGATAACCAAGTGGTCCCTGATGATCGGCCAGTATGACGTGGACTTCAAACCAAGGCCGACGATCAAGGGACAGGCACTGGCGGACTTCATTGCAGAATGCACCGCGCGCACCGAGGATGAAACCAATGACAGCAACGACTTCGATAATTGGTGGGAGATGTACACCGATGGGGCCTCGAGTGCGCGGGGCTGTGGCGGGGGAGCGGTGATCACTTCCCCCGAAGGTTTCAAGGCCTACTACTCTATGAAATTCGAGTTCAAGGTCACCAACAACGAGGCTGAATACGAGGCGCTTATCGCAGGACTGAAATGCGCAAAAGCCCTCGGAGCAGCTCGTCTGAAGGTGAGAATGGACAGCCAGCTGGTGGTAACCCAGATGAACGGCACGGCAGAAACCAGGGAAGAGAGAATGAAGGTCTACAAAGAGCTGGCGGAGGAACAGACCGCACAATTTGAGCAGGTGGTGCTTGAGCAGGTATCGCGGGTGGAGAATGCAGAGGCGGACATACTGTCGAAACTAAGCAACCCCCCAACCGATGACCCGGCGTCAAGCATCCCCCGACACATCAGAGGCTTCGTTAGGCAGGAGGTGTTCCCAGTACCGGCAACGGACGTCATCCAGGTGGAGATTATCTCCATTGCCGAACCTAATTGGGCAAAGGAGATAGCAGATTATCTCAGAGATGGAACACTCCCTGAGCCCGAAGCTGATGGCAGTACAGGAAGAGCAGCATGGATAAAGAGGCGTGCCCCTAACTTCGAACTTATTGACGGGCAGCTCTACAAGAAGACGTTCGGCGGACCCTACCTCAGATGCCTCCCGCCGAGCCTGGCAGCGGCGGTAATCGAGGAAATACACGAGGGGATCTGTTCCAGCCACCAGGCCCCCCGGACATTGGCCAGAAAAATCATCCTGCAAGGCTACTACTGGCCGACCATACAGCAAGATTGCTTCAACCACACTCGGAAGTGCGCAGTATGCCAACAGTATGCGCCTGTCCCTGGCCGCCCAGCGAGTTTTTACACCCCAATGACCATCGCACTACCTTTTGCTAGATGGGGAGTAGACCTGCTGGGTCCTCTGCCAACGGCTGCTGGTGGAAGGAAGTTCGTCATCGTGGCGATTGATTATTTCACGAAGTGGGTCGAGGCCGAACCACTGGCCTCCATCACTGAATTCCAGTGCCAGAAGTTCGTCTGGCAGAGCATCATCTGCCGTTTCGGGATCCCAGAGCAGATCATCACCGACAACGGCCGGCAGTTCGTCGGCAGAGGCTTTGAAGCATACTTGGCAAAGTGGGGCATCAGGCACTCTAAGGCCTCGGTGGCCTACCCGCAGGCCAACGGCCAAGTGGAGAACATGAACCGGACCATCATGGGTGGGATCAAGAAGAAGCTAGAAGACTACGCCTCCACCTGGCCGGAACAGCTGAATTATGTCTTATGGACATATAGGACAACGCCCAGAACGGCGACTGGGGAGACCCCTTTCGCCTTAGCTTATGGTTTCCAAGCTAAGGTACCAACGGAAGTATTGGTACCTACACACCGCACCAAGCACTTCCAGCCGGAGGACAACGAGACCAACCTACGAGCGGAGCTCCATTTCATTGAGGAACAGAGGGACCTGGCGGCTCGTCGCATGGAAGAATATCACAGGGCCACCCAGAGATACTTCAACAAGGCCGTGAAATTCCGCGAAATAGAGGCCGGGGACCTCGTACTCAGAAAAAGAGAGAAGAGCAAGCCGCTCGAAGGCGGCAAGATGGCGAGGAACTGGGAAGGACCTTACCGGGTCGTCAGAAGATACAACCAGGGGACGTTCCTCCTCCATACCCTGGAGGGGAACCATGCCGGGATGTGGAACGTAGAACACCTGAAGAAGTTCTATCAATAGTTAGAGGTTGATGTCCTTGTTGTATTCCCACTCCCATGTAAAATGACCGGACGTCGTCAATAATAAAAGCCCCCTGTTCTTTACATCACTTCTGTCTTGCCAACGACCGCTAAAGAAGGGAATCTCGATGCAGATAAACCTGTTCCTCCTTGTGATGTCTGCGGATCCCGAACGTCTCCTCGAAGTAGGGACGCCGGTAGGACCAAGGACCAAGGACGAACGAAGCACCAGGGAATCTCGATGCAGATAAACCTGTTCCTCCTTGTGATGTCTGCGGATACCGAACGTCTCCTCGAAGTAGGGACGCCGGTAGGACCAAGGACCAAGGACGAACGAAGCACCAGGGAATCTCGATGCAGATAAACCTGTTCCTCCTTATGATGTCTGCGGATACCGAACGTCTCCTCGAAGTAGGGACGCCGGTAGGACCAAGGACGAACGAAGCACCAGGGAATCTCGATGCAGATAAACCTGTTCCTCCTTGTGATGTCTGCGGATACCGCACGTCTCCTCGAAGTAGGGACGCCGGTAGGACCAAGGACCAAGGACGAACGAAGCACCAGGGAATCTCGATGCAGATAAACCTGTTCCTCCTTGTGATGTCTGCGGATACCGAACGTCTCCTCGAAGTAGGGACGCCGGTAGGACCAAGGACCAAGGACGAACGAAGCACCAGGGAATCTCGATGCAGATAAACCTATTCCTCCTTGTGATGTCTGCGGATACCGAACGTCTCCTCGAAGTAGGGACGCCGGTAGGACCAAGGACCAAGGACGAACGAAGACCATAGATTACCTCCCTCAAAAAAAAAAAAAAAAAAATCAAAAAAAAAAAAAAAAAAAAGATAGGGAGAAGAGGAGGGTAGCTCCTATACGGAAGGGAATCTTGCCCAGGTGTGCCAGATCTTCCCCCACCGCCGAAGGCGAACGCCTCTCGATGTAGGGGTTAGTAGAGACGTGGAGGGGGCTAGACGAACCAAGGGAGCCTGCCAAGATAAACCTGTTTATCCCACAAATGACCATGGATCGATGGACGTGGGATAACGAAGACGGGAACCCGTGAGGGTAAACCTGTTCTTCCTCGCGATGTCTGCGGATACCGAACGTCTCCTCGAAGTAGGGACGCCGGTAGGACCAAGGACCAAGGACGAACGAAGACTATAAGACTCCGAAAAAAAAAAAAAAAAAAGTGCCAGACGAGCATGGAGCAAAGAATGATTTCTATTCCTCGGCACTATTGGCCGGAAAGTTACAATGTATGAGGGTACAATACAAATAATGAAAAGTTGTACAAGTACAAGATAATGAACGGAGAATCACGTCCGATCGGCGTCCGGAGCTTGAGCTTGGGAAGGGGCCTGCTTGGATTTGTCACTTTTAGCGGCTTCCTCCTGCTCCTTCAACAGCTCAAGGGCCCCTGCATGAGCATCTGCCATCAAGACGTCGAAGCCAGCCGCCTCCGGGTCGAAGGGGGCCCCAAAGTGACGCTCGAACGTCGGGAGATTCTCCGCTACTAGCCCAACCATACCTTTGCGGTAGGTGTCATCGGCGAGATCGTCAAGGAAACGACGTCCGGTGGGGGTGGCCTGGAGCAATTTAACCCCATCTTGGTAAGCATCCGGGCAGGTGGCCAGGAACTCGCCGACAAGCCGCGGGAGGAACTTCATGGCCATGGTGTGGATGGCGCCAGTATAAGCCTTGGATTTCTGAAAGGCAATGGAACCAGACTCCTTGATTTTGGCAACATCGGCCTCATAAATAGGGACATGATTGTCCATGCCCGTCTGGCGAAGCTCCACCTTGGCTTTCTCTACGGCCCACATCCGGCTGCGAAGATCCACGAGCTCGGCCTCCTGCTTCTTAAGGAGCTCCTTCTGAGAGGCATTCTCCTGAACAAGCTTATCATAGGCATCGGCTTTCTCTTGAAGAGTGCCAGCCCTGCCTTTAGCGTTCCTCAGAAGGGCATCACACTCAGCCCGCACTCTGGCCATTTCCCTGCCCTGGTGCTCGAAGGCCATCCGGGCCCTGTGGAAGTAGAGCCCGGCTTTGTCCAAAGTGCTCTGACCACACTCCAGAAGGTCTTCGGGTGCCTCCTGAGCAGCAAAATCCTGAGGGACCTTGAGATTCAGGCCGCACCATATAGAGGAGGCTGTTTGACCAAAGAGCATCATTGACTCCTTGCGCGGGCCAACCCCGGAAAATTCAATCAAACCAAGGGAGGACCCATTGGTTTCCGGAGGCGAAGGAGAACGAGCATCGTCAGAATCCTTGGCCGTCTGGGCATCATCATCCCGGAGACGACGGACGTCAGAAGTTCGTGGGGGAGAAGGACGGGACCTGATCCGAGAGGCAGGCTTCCGCTTGAGGGGGCTCCCGGGCTCACCATCAGAGTCGTCGGCCACTATGATGGCCTTGGAGGCAGTGCCCTCGACGCGCAGCCTCTTGGAGGCGCCGGCTCCCAGATCATCCTCAGCCCGTGCCCTGGTCACCCGGTTTTCGACCTTAGGGACGAGCGGCTTCCCGGGCTTGTCATGCCCCTTGTGTCCACGACCGGCGGCAGACGGAGCGGTATTGTCTCGGCGCATGATGGACGTGGATGGAAAAACTCCTGCACAAAGGGAATCAAGACGTTCAGAACCATAACAGCGAAGAGAGGTTAAAACAATACAAGTACAAACGGACGCACCTAATCCAGCCTGAGCTTTAAAGGGCTCGGCCACCAGCAACCGGAGGTTCTGGATGCCAAGTCCGGCTATGCGCTTGGCATATCCAAGCTCCTCGTCCGTCATGGGTGGCGGGATCGTCTTCACGGGGTAGGCATTCCACCGATCAGAGAATGGCATCGGTGAGCCTACTCCGGCCAGGAAGAAGCGTTCTTCCCAACCGTCTGGATTCCCAGCGTTGTTCGAGAACAGAACCATGGACGGACGGGCGATTAGGGTCAAATACCCTGTGCGTCCGAAGGTGGACAGACGGAAGAAATGGTGTAGCAGGTCCACGGTGGGTGTCACACCGACGCTGTGGCATCTAATGATGAAGCCAGTGATTATCCGATAAGCGGCAGGGACGAGCTGCGCAGGCACAATCTCAAGGGCCCTGAAAAGTTCCAAGTGGAAGCTGTGCAGGGGGAAGTTCAGCCCGGCTATCACCGAATCTAGGTGGACTACCACATAGCCGGGCAGATGGCGCATGGGGTTCCGAAGACGCCGATCGTCGTAGGTCCTTGGGGGATAAAACCATTGGCCGGTCAGTCGCTTGTCAGCGTTCGTCAGGCGTTGAACTTGACGCCGGACGCATGAGAAGTTGAGGCTATAACGGGGAGGCCGGGGTGGCATTCCCCGCTCATAAAACTCCAGATCATCACCGGAAGAACATCCATCATCAAAGCGACTTTCGGAAGACATGACAACGAACGGTACCTTTGGGGTTCGAGATCTCCGATATGGTTAGAGAGAAGTCTAGAGAGAGAAGGCAATTGTGCAGCGTAAGGAAAAATGTGAGTGGATCACTTGGACCCTGGGTATTTATAGGCAACACCGCGGGATCGCCCCAACCGAGGCAGGACACGTGGCGCTTAAGTACCGGTACCTACCACGGTATTTAAGGCGTCTCGATTTTGTCGCCGCGTAACCACCACAAAGACATCCGGGACCGTGCCACGAACGTCCCTTGAGGAGGGCTCACCGGCTCGGAGGAATTTAAAGACATTCGCCTTCCCTTGCTTCCTTAATTCCCCGACTGACCCTAGCGTCGGCGGCCGATGAGGGCACACGCATCAACTGGCTACGTCCGTCTTACAGTGCTCCAGTTTTCATGTCACGCAACTGTAGACGAACGTCGTCACCGAGCGCTGTTTCAGGGAAATACGCCCATATGTCCATACTCGAGACGCGTACTAACAAGGCAACTACCGACGAACGTCTTCCCATTGTCAAGATACCACGTGAGCGGTAAAGATGTGTCAAGGCGCCGGAAGGATTCCTTATACTACAAACGATGGACTCCAAAAGGATGAAGTAAAAATCACGTCCATTAGAGGTGCACGGAGGATGAACGTCGCCTTTCCACTTCATGACAGATGAACACGCAGGACGGACGGACATCCTTGCGCGAAGCTTTAGCGTTCATGCCACGCGACGATAGAGGAACGTCGTTGGCAAGCATTGAGGCAATCTCCGATGTGCGCATGACCACACTTGCGAGGCATGCTGTTTGGCCAACTCCTGACGAACGTCGTCTTGCCATCGGAATGCTGTTGCAGGAGGGACAGCCAGTATCGGCGCCGGGTGTCACCAACCAAAGGCGGACCTTAACACTGGCGCCGCACACTAAATGTGTACACGGTTTTGGCAAAGAGACGCCCCTACCCCCGGACCAAATGGGGAACAGAGACGAACGTCCACGCAGACTATGCGACAGAGAATATCGAAATACAAAGGGAGTTTCCATACAACAAAGGACGAAGGGAAGAAAAGTAACAAGTAGAGATCACGAACATGGAACAATTATGGGCGAAAGGATGTATATTCTTCGGCTCTAACGGCCGGACATTACAAAAGTTAGAATGGAAAAATACAAATTACATTACACAAAGAAGGGGGATCCCGGTCGGCTGCCACCCTGGTTCAGCTTCTCCTCCTCTTCCTCGGGCTCGGGGGACGGGGGTTCCGGAATTTCCCCTCTAGCCTTGGCTTCCTCCCGCCGTTGGTCTCTCCCCAACTTCCCCAAGGCTTGGAGCAGCAGATCGTCGTCCGTATTTGCAGCGAGCTCGAAGTCGGCCCCCTGCAGCCTTGAGAAGATGGGAAGGGTGGCCTTGACCCCCTCATTATAACCAGCGGCGAAGGAGCTGTCGCCGACCTCGTAGAGGAACTTGTGGGACAAGGGGGAGCTCTCCAGAATCCGGACCCCGCTCGCCAGACGCTGCCGGGGTGGGATCTTCTCCAGCGCCGCAGAGAACACGTCACCGAAGGCTCCGGCGCAATAATCCTTGGCGGAATCCATGAACTCCCCGGTGTTCCTGTAACCGGAGGTGTCGACTAACCACTCCGGAGTGGCGTCCTGGGCGGCAGGGAGCACCGGAACAAGCTTGAAACCGGCTCTTTCAAGGCCGGCCAACTGGCTGCGGGATTCAGCCTGCAGGGCTGCAATCTCCCTCCCCTTGGCCGCAGCCTCCGCCTCGGCTCGACGGGCGACCTCCCGAGCCGCAGCAATGGCCGCATCGGCCTTAGCCTTGGCCTCCTTGAGATCGGCCTCCCGGGCAGCTTCAGCTTGAAGGACAAGGAGCCCAGACTGGATGACAGAAGAAAAATAAGGATCAGAGGATGAACGTCAAAGAAAAACGCACTCAGATCTAGCAAGGGGGAATTACCTGAAGAGCGGCTGCCAGGGCAGCGCTGGTCGCCTCAGAAGACGAACGGCTGGGCAGCTCTAGGCCAGCCTTGAGGGCCATCTCCCTCCAAAGCTCTTCCGCCGGGCGGCTCAATGGCAAGGAGCCGGCATCTTCAAGCAGGGGCCCGGTGGAGACTGCCTCGCGGCCCCTCTTTTGTTTCTTTTCGGGGACCTTCTCCGTCCCCTTTTGAGGAGCCGCCTTCGACGGGACGGCCGGCGGTGGAAGGGCAGCTTCAAGAGCAGGGGCCCCGGAACCCTGAGCCAGCATAGTGGCAATCAGGTGCTGCTCACCCTCGGCGGTTCGCCGGGCAGCGTCAGAAGCCGAGGAGTTGGACTCCGGGGCGGGGGCATTCTTGGCTTTCGCCAGTGCGGCTTTAGCAGCGGCCGCTTTGGCTTTCCTTGTCTTCAAACACTCGGCGTGATTCATCTGGTCTCGATCTGGCGGAGAACCTGCAAGAAACAACAAGGATTAGAAGACGAGCGGGAAGTAGAATAAGACACTCACCCCGAAGGGCAGGACCGCCCGGTGCCCCGAGACGAGCGTCGAAGGGTAGAAAAAGTCCAGGGACACGGGCGGTACCTATGCCTGCCCCGGAGAGTGCCTCGAAGGTCAGATACCCGGCTATGGGACGGACGCCACCCTCCAACACCTTCTCCGCATCCAAAAGCAGATCGTCGGTCGGCTCCGGTGACTCAATCTTTGGGGGATACCCATTCCACCGGAGAGGGAGAGGAGGCCCGTCGTATCGAAGGAAGAAGAAGCGGTTCTTCCAGTCGTGGATGGACGAGGGGTAGCTCTTGAACAGCCGCCTCCCAGGACGTGCGGCCACGCTCAGATACCCGTCGGCATTCTGGGGAGTGACGCGGTAGAAATAGTGGAAGAGCTCCAGAGTGGCATCGACCCCCGCAAGTTTGCAGCGCACCAAGAAGGCCGATATGAATCTATAAGAATTTGGCATGAATTGCGCCGGGGCCACCTGGAAACAGTGGAAGAACTCCACATAGAACGCATGAAGTGGAAACCGCAGCCCGGCTTCAACGGAATCCAGGTGAAGCATGATCATCCCCGGACGTCTCCTCATCACATGCTCAGCGCCTCTCACACTCCAGACGAACGGTGGAGGAAGGAAGGTACGGATCTTATTGAGGGCCACGCGGGAGAGGACTTGGTCGTGGTCAAGGGCGCTCCTGATCGGGCAGATGTGGCGCTCCATATCCGTGGGGATGCCCAGATCGTACACCTCCATATCAGAACCGGATTCGGCTTCCTCTCCAGAATCATAATCAGCAGGACGCTCATTCAGGGGGACCGCATCAATAACGTCCACTGCCTCATCGGCATCCCCACCCCTGGCGCTGCTCCCACTACCTTGGGAAGCCCCACCCCTGGCGCTGCTCCCACTACCTTGGGAAGCACCACCCGGCTCACCATCAGCCCGGATGGTTCCCACCGTCGTGGCCGAACCCGAGTTTCCAGAAACACTAGTTTTGCCCAGAGAGCGTGCATTCGCATTTTCAGAAGAGGAGCCCGAGGAGGAACCCGACGAACTGGAATCAGAACTTGAGGAGATCTCCATCGAAGTCATTCCGACTAGAAATCAGAGTAAAGAAAAGAAGCAAAGGGGGGAAATTACCTTACAAAGGGGTTAGCCGAATTCAGGAGACTTGAAGAGCTGCGGAAGATCGAGAGCAAGAGAGCAGAAATTGGGAACCCTAATTCAGAGGGAAAACCCAGCATTTATAGGAGAAACACCGATGGAGAAACCAACGAGGGACTGACACGTGGCAAGGAGCGTATTCCGGCCCACGCGCTGTGCGTGGGATGGGAACGTAATGATGACACTTCCTCGGGAAAATGCGCCGCCGCAACATCAGCCGTCACCTCGTTTCCTGAACCGTCAACAGCTGTCAAGCACCAGGACCACGAACGTACGCTTCCACCAGGTGCAATAAACACAAGTACCAAGATACGGACGTCTGCTTCGGGGAGGTTCATACTTCCTTATGTCCTGCGCATGCTCAGAACATCAGAAGTGGGGGACTTGTGTTGGGTTAAGGGCCCAAGCCGAGGCCCGGCCCACTAACCCATTTTGCCAGACGAACGTCCAGTTAGAACACTAGGCCAGCCCACAGGCCCATATTCCTTGAGGATGGACGAACGTCTGGTGTTGGGGGGCTCAGGCCCAGCAGCTCATCCCGACGAACGTCTATGCAGGGACAAGGAGCAGAACCACGGGCCACCAGGGATGGCGACGAACGTCCCCAGAGCAAGCCTGTAGTCATCGGAGGAAACCCAGTCCACATGGTGAGTATCTATCAAGGCCAGGAGACGAACAGCCGGTATCACCTGAGGGTCACTTGGAGCAATCCAACTCACTTCCTGGGTGGACGAACGTCCCCACTGATCCGGCGGGAAACCTAGATTCTGGCGGGAAGTGCATTTAATGCTAAAGATTGGGTAGTTGGGACACCAGCGGTCCACAGGCTGCCACGTCACTACAGCCACCTGCCCATTGGCGGGTATAAATAGAAGCATTTATTTCATTGTAAAGGGTTGGCAGTTTTCTATTCTTAGCATACTAGCTTCAGCATTCTTACTCGCAGCATTTTTGACTGCCTTGTAAGACGAACGGCCGACGTGCCCTTTTTAGCAAGTAGATTGTACTTAGGGGAGTTATTACGGAGTTAATAATACCTATTTACATTGCCTGCTATTACTCTTGTTTCCGGATCCATCTGATAGTTGTTGGGCTATACATTCATACACTCACTCCACTCGAAACCTTTGGGCTTACGTGTTGGGTCCAAGGGTTGAAGGAATAAACCTCAACAAGTTTCATAAATAATTTGATGAGCTCTAAAAAAATTATATCTGATAAATTATTTGCTTGTTTGTGAATGATATGTTGATTTTTAGTAGCAATCTTAGCCATCTTGAATTAATAAATGAGACAAAATCTTATCTTACTTCGAAAGTGATTTTGAGTAGGAAAGTCATAAAGAAAGATGATGGTATTATACTATCTCAAAAGTATTACACTTGAACTCCATGATGAATCACATACACATTTAAAAAAATATAAACAAAATTGCTTGACGTGCACCTTTTTGTTTACATTTTTCGCACATTTTATCTGTCTATGTAGATATAGTTGTCTGTATACAAACAATTTTTATATTTCTAGAGAGTTATTTGTATATAAACAACAATGTCTATATAAACAGATAGATTTGTAAATAGAGGCCGTTTGACAACACTGCTTTTCGGCTTATCAGGCCTATCAATCAACTTTTTCACCAAACACTTAACTTTTGTATTCGCGCGCTGAATTGTGTAATAAGAAGAAAAAGTAAGATTGAAGTTACTTTTCTGGCTGTATTGACTGAAGTTACTGTAGATGACCATTTTAACTATTTTTACATACTCCCTCCGTCCCGTTGGAATGTCCCCGCTTTCCTTTTTTGGATGTCCCAAAAAGAAGTTCCCATTTCCCTAAATGGAAAGTTATCCCACATCAAAACAGTGTTAAACAGTGCCAAACAGTGTCCAAACAGTAAAATTTACCCCCTAGTAAGTTTATTTCCTTAATATGTGTGTAGGTCAAACCGGGAACATTCCAAGGGGACGGAGGGAGTATAATTTTTTCTTTATTTTATTAATAAAATATATTTTAAAAATATTTTTTTTCTTAAATCAGCCGAATCTGCCAATGCAGCTGCTTCAGCCAGAACTTCATAAATTTCAACAAAATCAATCAAATCAATCAATTTTCATACTACCAAACGGGTTCATAATGTACATAAAATTCAAAGGTATACATGTAGCAATTTTTGAAATATAATAAAAGTGACCCGAGAAAAGTGACCTGAGAAAAAACAATTTTTCATTCTACCTAGTATGCAGTTATAGAGTAATGATCCTATCCAGTCGTCCGGCGGTCGCCATTTGGAGCCCTTCCCGATGAAATTTTTTGTTAATTTTTTTTGAGCATGTTCTTCATGAAGTCTAGTTTATCCATACTAAATTTCAGCTAAAAATTCAACCGGTAAGGCAGTCAAATGATTTTTAGAAGTTAACTGCACACTTTATATACATATAAAACGCAGTCATCTTCAAAAAATCAGTTGAATGCCTTCCAGATTGAATTTTTAGGTGAAAATTGGTACGGATAATATAGATTTCGAAGAACATGCTAAAAATTCCACCCAGACTCTGTCCGTCACGTAGTCTCCGATTGGTGGTCGTTTTTTTGTTTGATTTTAAGTGCTGTTTATGCCGTCAATTGGTTTGAATCTGTTGTAATCATGTTTGATATAAGTGTCTTTACCAAAAACACTCAATCACTTACGCTCTGGTAAACGCAGCCTGGTGAGCGAGGAAGAAGATGTTAAACTGGATTTGATTTGCAAGTTTTTCTCCTATTTGGGTTTCTCTATCTTAATGGCTACAAGGCCAGTGAATTCATCGTTCGTACCCGTTTTCTCTTTCCCCTTTCTCTGTGAATACTTCTCACATTTTGATTGCGTCTCCATTTTCTTGCAGTGGGTGTAACAATTGCTGCCGGAGCCCGTCTCCGGTCTGGAGACCATCAAGCTTGTTCTTCCAATTAGGGCTCAATCCTAGTCGGGCCACCACAACTCCAACCTCCCATAAGACCGCCATGTCCACACGGGCCTGCTCCTCTTCTCCTTCTCCAGGTCCCTTACTGCCCGCACTTGTTGAATCAATTCTTTAGTTTATTTGATGGGCTGGAAATTCGTACGAGTTCTTACATTGTCAAGAATGGGTAGCATTTTCATGGCTTTCCGCATCATTTTGCTTATAAAAAGGTTTTGACACATGTGAATTATAATTGTGGAGATACATTTGGTAGAAGCTAGAGACTTACTAATTCGAGATAGCTGAAACTCAGTGCTCTCTGATGAGAGATTAGAGAAGAGCAAAATAAAGTTCTGATTATGGATAGAAGTGAAAAACTATTACCCCCATTGTTTTAGTACATCAATGGATAGGGAGGGATGGGGGAGGACGAGCCAAGCCAGCAGTTTTAAACCTGAGCTTAAATGAGAGCTCGAGGAAGGATGGAAGAACATGAATTAGCATTGATGGATCAAAACACAATCTTTTTCAATCCCAAAATGATAGTCCTACATTACTAAGCACAGGTCAACCCCATTCACTTTTAATATCTCATTATATGTATCAAAATTTTATCATATTCAACTAATTTATTTTGAATCCAATACAACTTTTAATGTACTTTCTAAATATATAAATTTCAGTTGTTAGTTATACATACAATTTTATCAGGGAGAGGTTATGTTTTTCATCAGTCAAACCTCAAAATCCGCAATAAGACTATCAATTTGGGATGGAGGGAGCATCAAATATTGACATATACCCTCAAACATGGACCATAATTGACGATAATTTGTGGCTTAAGGGGTGGGGCTGTTTTGAGTAAAACAATAGCTTTCCTTCAAAGACCTCCAAATTGGAGGGGACCAAAATATTCCTTCAGCAAATTAACTCCTGTCTAAAAGAATAATTAATACAACTAACTGACCATGTAATTACCTGTATATTGGGTGACTTGAAGACTGACTGGGACTTGAAGTCCTCTAGATCTCGTTTGTATTGCTAACTAATACAGCTAAGAAGTAACCACCATTTATGATGTGGTTTGTAAATGTAATCAATTCTGATTGGTCCGTTAAGCCTTTGCAATTACCATTGCTTATCATTGTATTATAGTTTTATTTTATAAACTCATTTGCATCAAATGGTGTGTTTACATAGTTACATTAGACTCAGAAGGGGTAAGAGTGGCATAGTCTTTGACCTTATCCCTGAATAAGAATCGTTCAACAAACCAGTTAGTAAAAAGCAAACGCCTGGACGCTTAAGCGCACCAGGCGAGGTGCACATGAACCCTAGCGACTGAACAAAGGTCAGGTGCAGTTCCCTATCTTAGGCACAGGTAAGGAGACAAAGTGCTGAAGCTCTAAAAAGCAGTCACTGTACTCACCTAAAGGGGGAAACACGTTTAATACTATTTTTATATTTCAGACTATTTTAAATACTAAGCCCATACTATTAATATGATAAAGGCCATGCAAATAAAAGGTCAAACAACCTAAACCTATGTTAAACCTTACAAGTCACCGTAAGTGTTCGCTACCTCAACTCTCCCGCTCTGCTTTACTCACGTTACCTCACAGCAAGTGTTCGGTACCTCCTCCACATCAACCGCGGAAGCTAGCAACATTAGAAAATGGAGAAGGAACAAACTCCTCTTTCAATGATGAATAGTCCTTCATAGTTTGAACAAGGGGAATTGGACTAGAATCTGATTGTGTTTTATTTTTAGTTTTATTTTATTATTCAAGTATTGAATTCTGAATTCGATTGTTTTGTTTTTGTAAACTATGACTTTATTTTGGTGAATCATGATTTAATTTTGCTGAGTCGTGACTTTATTTTGAAGAAACACGAATTTTTAATGCAGTTGGTTCAATACGATGTTATGTACATCATGTTTGATAATTGCAGAGTAATGTATGTGATAATTTTCTAAGCAATGCGCCTGACACCAGCGCTCTTTTGCGCCTTGCGTCTAAGGCGATGGAAGTACTCTAGCACCTTGAGTGCGTTTTGCGGCTTTACCTACCTTGCGTCAAACCCTTTTGCAACCAAGGGGTTGTTTACTTTTTTTTTCCTATTAAGTCCTGTCTGGATTAAAACATCTGTCAAGGTAAATATGTCTGTCTGGATTAAGTGATATTTATATATGAGATTGTTTATTTTGTATGCTGAATAAACAGTCCGAATCGAGTAAATAATCAATTTAGTATTATTCTTAGATTATAATGTCAATGAAAAACTTCATTTATTAATATAAATCTATTCCACAATCAATTTAAAAAAAATTGACAGAAAAACGTCTTAATAGACGTCTTAATGATTAAGTCATGTTTATAATTAAGTCGTAAGTAAACATGAAATAATGTATGAATGATTAAGTCGTCATTATCATTAAGTCGAAAGTCAATAGCCCCTAACTAGCCTTGTGTTATGACATTTTCCTAAACCCTTCACACTAGACATAAAGGTATTGCGTTTACGTTTTTTTTTAAAGAAAAAAAACCCGCTTATATTAATACCATTAGAATTTGGATCGTTACAACAAACTCAAAGAGATCAACACTGACAACAACTATCCGTAACCAACTAGCACTATCAACCCTACGGCTAGACTTAGAAACGATCACCCCTGAAAGAGTTATATGAATCGCTAACCAAAGGTATTGCGTTTACGTTTATACTCACAAGAAAATGTGGGAGTAGGCTTGAGATTCTTTACTTCTCATTCAACAAAAACTTTAGTTTAGTAAACTAGGCATTTATAGAAAATAGTACCTTGCTCAAGTGCATATTTAGTCTCAATCAATTGTCTAAAATTATTTTAACACTAAATTCATTCAAGAAGCCTAAATACTGAGATTTAGGCTTTCTCTATATATTTAACCTCCTTACCTCCTAAAGAATGAATCATCATCATCATTACCCCAGTGCCGTAAAGGCTTCCCACCTACGGTAGGGTAAGGGATTCGAAAGAATGAATATCGAGATCAAATTCCAAATCCATCTATTTACACATACAAGATATGTATAGTGAAAGAGTAGTCTAACCCTAACTGCTTCTGACTAAGAATAACTAATGCACCTAAGTAACTACTTAACTAAAATGATCTTGTTAACTTGACAAACTTATCCAGATGGTGATTTGGGTTTTTCACTTTTTCTTTGTCTGTTAGATTTCGCGACATTTTTTCATGATGAATAATGAGAAGCTGTATACCTGATTCTTCATTGGATTGCTCAATTTTTTTCAGAACCACTTCTGGTGAGGGCTGCAAGAAGAGAAC